TGAAGAAGACGTCTTTTACTAATATTCAAGCCAAGGATTCAAGAGAAAATTTGCTTCCTTGAGCGTTTTTGGCATTCGGAAGGCAGCTTTTAACGACCTCAACCCCATCAAGACATTAGCAGAAAGGCAATGGCAATCCATTTATTTCCGTTGCGGGCGAAAACGGAAGCATCTTTCTGGATTCTCAATCGTATTTCTTGTTTCAGAAGATAAATTTGTGGTTTGAAGTAAATTCAGTGGTAATATGTGAAATTCGACCAACCATTCAAAACCTCTTTCACTTCACGCGAAGAAGATTCAAATGGATCAACAATTTTGAACTGCAGACTTGATTTTCGCTAAAGGTCGTTTAACGAATGGTCAAGTAGAAACAAAACATCCACACACCTTAGGCGTACTTCTTAGCCCCACTATATCATCTCTTTGAGTATTGATTACATCGCTTAATAGGCCACAGACCGCACCGTTGTACAGCAATATTCATAAGTGAAGAAGGTTAATGCAACAACCACTGCAGACTGCAAGATAGAAAACTTCATCGTTATAAGAAAAGATTACGTTTCAAAATATGAAACAAAATTAGCAAAAATGAAAGGCAAAATGGGCTCTCGAACAGAACCTTGCAGAACACCGAGGGTGATCGCATCAGAACAACTCTCAAGGTATCAAGGTCGTTTGAAACGGATAAAATTTTAGCTCTACAGATGGGAAAAAAGGAAATAACAAGCAAAAGGGGCTTTGGAACAGTGCCTTGCAGAACATCAATATTGGGTGAATCAAAACAGGTATATTGGTCATTTTAACAAGATAAAATTACTGTTTAACACCTAGCACAAAATGAGAGAAAATTATAAAAAAAGGCTTTGGAACATAGCTTTGCAAAGCAGATACTGATCAAATGGTAACTGTAAGCGTAGCTACCGTTAAATGCAACTAGAAACCATGTTTCAGTCAGATCAACTATTAGGTTAGTCCAGCTAAAGTATCTTGGTAAAGTATCAGATTCAAGGGGATGGGCACTGTTTATAAAGTGATGTCATGGATACAGAAGACATGTTGCAAGTGTCCACGTATAACACAAACCAGAAGGAACGATTGCCATGGAAGAGGATACAAAGGATTATATAAGATTAAAGTTCGGCTGCAGTAGGCAGCAGAGGCTCTGAAATTACGAAAAGCAATATTGAAGAGGGCAGATTCGTATTACAGCCGTCTGGACCTAAAACTAGATACTCGCACGTACAGGGTCGAATGCTGACAAAAACAAAAATCCATGTGCCAAAACAGCCTACCACATGAAAATCAACAGCATTGTGTACAGTGAGAAAAACGTGACCGGCAATTGTAAACAATTAAGACCTACTGATAATGTAAAAACAGCCAACGTTTCTGGCACTCACGCTTAGTTTTGAGCTGCAGATGAAACGATATCCTGCTTCAGATGTAGTGTCTCTCAGATTACTTATTCTCGTGAGAAAATCACTTGAAAGGGGATTACGCAGTTTTACTGTTTTAAAATGAGAAAAGAGTAATGTGGCCTTCAGATTCTTAAAGAACAATCTACATTTTATCCAGTAGCTTCTTAGATCTCAGGATGGTGTCTCTTTTTGCTCAATCTTACTGTCCTATCGTGGGAAGAAATTAACCCTTGCTATTCAGTAACCAAACCACTGATTATATGAGGACGAATTTTTAATAAAAGGGGCTTTGGGAGAAATTAAACTGTGGGATACATGAGTAATGTTTGTGTCGTATAAAAGGTCTTGTTTCAAGATGGAGTTAGTGTCTGCGCGGCGCGCGGAAGGATCGCTTAGTCTAAATACCCACTTCATCTCTCTAGCTTAGCAACAATGACGTCGTTTTAAAAAAAACATGACGGAAGGTGATCTAAAGGTAGATATTCCCACCGAACGGCGTTTGAAGAAGATAATGTACTTTATACGTCTAGGTAATAAAACAAGTAGTATCTTCAAAAATGTAATTTAATGTAAAATGTCGGAGGGGTTGGGTAGCCTAGACATTACATGCACAAAGACAAGCTGTAAGGAAGACTCAGGGTCAACAAATAAAAATCCCATTCGGGTTCCTGTCATGATCATGGCCAAGCCAATCAGAGTGGGGGGAGTCAAAAGCTCTCTGTAATTCCTGTTCTAGGAATCACAAGGTGTGTTGTGGTAATATCGAGAAGAAGAGCCAGGATACTGCTCGATGAGCATAGCTTTTTAGTGTTTCCGACCCTTCCGTTCATAGGTTCAAATAAATATGAGTGCAAAGGCATAGATAAAGACGAGTTTTTGGTACCGGAAAATTTGAAGATGGCACGAAACAGCAGAAACATCGCATACTGAAGCATTGTTCGTTGGTCAGTATGTGATGCTTCCGCTTTTTCGTGCCATTTTCAGGTAATAGGTTGGTCATTTCCAGGCATAAATATATGGGCATAAATAGTTTGACCATTTCCTTACCGAAATGCAAAATTTGTCATATTTGCCTTGTCATATTTTATACGAAAAAGGAGCAGTATTATCCAGTGCATTTCCTTGTGTTTCTCTATCTTCAGAACTTAAAACTTTCGGACGAAAAATCATTCGGACGAATAAAGTTTCGGTTAAATTTTTGTCCGAAAGTTTGATCGTCCGAAACTTTTCTGTTTTAATATATTCGATTTTAATAAATACAAGTTAGATTCAAACGAGATTATTTCAAAAGTATTTATTGTTTTGATTATAAGATGGAATTTTTTATTTCAGTTTCTTGTGGAATGGAAAGAAAGAATCCACTGACAAGAACTAAAACTAGTCTATTGCTTGACAATGTGCTGCAGGACTGTCTATCCAGTTTTCAATGATCCTGCTCCAACGTTGGAACTCCCTTGCTGAGTCTGTAACTCGTGCAGTGGATGGTTATTATGGAGCCATCATTTTCAAGGGTATTAATATTTTAGAAAGGTGGCAGTACAAAAGGGAACAGTACCCACGGCACAATCGTATTGACAGCTAGCCAAAATAGTTTTTCCATTTCAATGAAAGGATAATCATTTTCCTCAAAAATTTGAACTTGCTAATTAATAACCAAAAAATTATGGAACGTCATTTAAACTGCATCTGAGAAGTCGCTATCCCGAACTGAAAAGCCTCAGTTACCTGAAAGCTCTTCCAAAAATCAACCAAAAATCGACAGATAATCCAAAATTCACATGAAAGGAAGCCAAAACATCTGGATATGAGTAACAGTCGATTTGACTACACCTGACGTGTGGGAAAATCATTTGACGGGTTTTCCTGCTAATCCATAAAAGGAATTTTTGCGGGGTCCATATTGGCAACATGGCTGGCAGTATAATCTCAGTGTTAAGGGCTTAGAACACCAACAAGACACTTTTTGGTTAATGAAAACTAACAAAATGGATGAATTGAGTTCATAAAGCTGAATGATTCATTGATCCAAACTCTAGAGTTGGATTATCGAATTAAAAAAGGATAATATTTATTAAAGTCAAGATTTTTCTTTAGTTTGACATGTGAACTGACAAAACTGCTTCAATAAGAAAGGTTTTTGCAAGAAATTAATTATATAAATGAAATCAGTACTGATCATGGTACCAGCAAAAGAGGTGAAATTTGCCAACTTTCTCCCAATGACGTTAAAAAAGATTGAAAGACTGCCAAGAACAGCGTGTTTATGTCAAGACAATCAACTGAGATCGATAAATTAATCTTTACTGTACTGGCTGGACTCTAAAATGGCTTTCAGTTATCTATTTGAGAATTCATTTAGGCCAATTCAGGTTTATATCCATTTCAAACAGCATTAATGCCCATAATTTGATCATAAACGTATCAATTGCTATAGTTTCAAGTGCAATACTTCAAATGTAATACTGTGCCATCTGGTAGAATGGCATTGGAAATGAACGACTTTTTATGGATTCTTTCTGTATTTGAATGTATTATTTGATTAATAACATGCATAATTTTGTACTGGATACATTAACGAAATTCGTGTAGAGTCAATTTTTAGTGAATGCATCATATTCGTCAAGCAAGTTTTTTCAATTCATGGCTGTATCATCTGTTGCAAGAATGTATCACTAGATGAATGGTTGTATCTCTTACAAATTGCAGGTACCAAAATGTGTGTGAAATGTCAGTTTTGCAAATGCAGCACTTGATACGTCACTGTAAACATGAATGTACCATATTGTCTAGTAATGTAATACTGTCTGTAAGCCGGGTACTTTGGCAGTGCCATCGAGTGCATAAATGTGCCATTTGGCTTTGATTTTCTCTCAATCATATACCACAATAGAAAGAAAGCGGACTAAAAGCAGGTCAGTATTAAACCAAGCAACCAATGCACTTTAGTAATGTTAACAACAATTTTTAGACTTGTGTTTCGCAAACGAGTCTGATGTGCCCGCTATTGTAAAGAAAGAAAGAGAAAAGGGAAAATGGCCTTTTGCGCAGATTAGCAGCCCTTGAATAACAGCCAAGTATGACTAATGCATTGAGAAACTACAAACAGTACTAGTATTATTGATTGTTTCTACGATTTTTGATCGTTCAGACATTATTCTGCTATCGAATCAATGTCATCTTTTCAATCTTGTGTGTTTGTATTTCTATTAGATCCATTTGAACGAATAAACCAGCTTTATTTTCATTTGGGACCGAAGAGCGTACCGATCGAAGGACAAGGCAGTAACACAAAACAAAACTCTCTTACTCTTAAGTGAAGCTTTCACTTTCAAAGCGAAAGAGAATGTATACAAAAAGCTGACATCTTGCTCCAAACGATTTCTTACCGTACTGGTCCGCTCTGTCATCTAACATTCTTATCAAAGCAGCTTTAGCTCTTTCTCGCTTAGAGCCTAAGTACCTTCTCTCAGTACCTCGCAACTCGCAGTAATATTAGTATACATCATGGACATTTAGAGAACTTAAACATACTCATTCACTACTCATCTTTAAATGACAAAGAAAAATAGGCATCGTTATTACCTTGACAACACTAGCACCAGCTCCCTTGAACAGGCCCGTGATCCCTTCTTCCATAACGATTCTTGCAAAACAATTCACCATTCCCGTGTATGAAGAAACTCTACCAAATGGTCTTCTGGCCTCTTCGAAGCCTTGAACCTGAAGGCGTTTTTTGATGACGTCAAAGGGAAGAAGTAATATCTTGCTGAAGGCCCCTGCCAAAGCTCCGCATGATAGGGTTTGGAGTTTCCCAGGCTCATCTCCCTAAAAGAAACCAGAATATATTTAACTTCAGTTGAGGCATACTGATCAATCTTTTGGCTGAACCACTTTTCAAGCTAATTCTTGGTTAAGTGTCAGCAAAAAATACAAAGAAACCTCGAAGAATCCATAATGCATTATTCTTGTTTATGTAAACTGATTTGTTTGATACTCATAACGTCCCTGCCTTAGTCAACTATCTTTTGCCATTTTCAACTGCTTATTCAGGGCGGTTATATTCAATGACATCTTGTTGCATCTTTAACGACCTGCCATAGGAGCTTTTCATTATCACCAAATAACAAAGAGTGTTACTTCCCTAATCGTAAAACTGCAAAGATATATCTAAATATGACAGCGTACCTTTTGTTTGAAAAACTTTTTCCATGTTGTTCTAAACACATGATAAAAGCCAAACTGCAGTGCAGAATTTGGAAAAATCGCAATAACGGTGGGGAGAAGTCCTACGATGAGAAAGATTCATTAAGATTACTTTTACACAATTTGAGAAAGTCAGTGTTCACAAAGCAAGACACCAGGTGTTTTTCACTGAGCTATGGGTATTACTGTGTCGCTTCCTTGACCAATTAAATAAGTTATAATGCATTGAGAAGGGTATATACATTGGTATATGCCACAAAGGTATTGGTTTCGACCATAAACACAATGTATTGACAAGAACAAAAACAAGTTTGCAATATAACTCCTACGGAATTTGTCTTTCCTTAAACTCTAGGTTCGCTGATGATACTGTACTAATTGCAGAAAGTAGAGAAGATCTGCAAAAAATGATTACTGAGCTCCATCAAAAATGTCTAGAATATGGAATGAGTCTAAATGCAAAGAAACTAAAAGTAATGGTAATAGACAAGAAGGAACAAATTCAATGTGAAATTAAAGTAGAAAACAAAGAGCTAGAACAAGTAAAAGTTAATAATGGAAAATGTGAAGAAGAAATCAGAAGAAGAATAGGAAAAGCAAAAAGTAAATTTTGGAAATTTAAGGAATTTTTGAGAAGCAACAACAACCTCAATTTGAAATTAAGGCTACTTAAAACCTACATCTTCTCAGCAGTAGGATATGGAAGCGAGGCATGGACATACAGCAAAGTAATAAAAGTAAAACTTCATGCTTTTGAAATGTGGTGTTACAGGAGAATTCCGAAAATAAGCTGGACTGAAAAAGTAACCAACAAAAAAGCGTTAGCAACAATCGGACATCAGAGAGTCAACGAAATGATAAAAAGAAAACGAGATTTGCTGGCCATATTATGAGAGGATCATCCGGGTTCTTGGCAAGGCTTGTTTTGGAAGTTATGATTGACGGAAAAAGAGACAGGGGAAGACAAAGAAGAACACGGGGAGACGATGTCAAGGAATGGAGCGGGTGTGAGAGCATTGGGAGAGCTAAATTATATTCTGTGGACAGGGATAGTTGGAGGGTCATGGTAGCCAACCTTCTGATAGAAGATGGTACCTGATGATGATGTTTCTGATCCAATGCACTACATTTCATTTTCCATTAAAAAACTCATTGCAAACGAATTTCTAAACATACCCTTGTAGAATGTTAGAATTCCTCCTTCCTTTAGCATCAAAGAAATACCTTGGACCAATCCTTTGTAAACCTGGATAATAAAATATTTTTTATTCTTAATACAGGGAATACCTAAGACATTAAAAGTTCTCATTCTAAATTCTAGAAAATCTACTAACATACCATTGGACATTAACTGACATTATGGAGTGTCGGGGAAAAAATACTCAAGTATGATTGTTTTCGCATTTCCAACCATTTTTCAAAGTTTTTTGCTTACAAATCAAAGTTTTTTTGAGTGGAAGAAACGTGGAGCAATGAAAGCATAGGGTTTGTAGCTACATAACTCTCGACGACAAAGAAAAAATAGGCCTAAAATTAAGAAGCAAGAAAACTGATTAAATAAATTTTTATATTGTAAGCAGAGCCCAGATAAAGTAAGCGACATTGTCAAAAGGAAAGGATAAATTCCGTGAGCTTAAAACAATTCTATACACTTCGAATAACTAAGAAAGCATTTAGAAAAATCTTCAGAGTGATAGACCAAATTAAAGCTTTCTCCTTTGTTCCATTGTAAAGTAAATTAAGCATTCAGCTTTCCAGAGCAAGGGTTTATAATCAACAAAACAAATAAAATGTGCATTGTGCATCTATATAGGATAATCTATCGCTAGAATAATTACTAATATCCTTAGGGTCCTGATACTTAAACATTTATTACTAAAAGAAAACGTCTGAAAATAATTTCATGGGTCCAACCTGGTTAAGTTACAAGATAAATGGTTTTACATGATAAAAAATTTCTTCGAAGAAGTTTTGATTAAATCTTTCTGGCACCGAATGACCACACATAAAATCATAGCTTAACAAGGTTCTTCTAAAATAACAAGCTTCTCCGGCCTAATATGATTAAATCATGAACTAATATAGCTACATTTACTTTCTGCAAATTTTCACGAGCAAAGATCTAGTAACTACCTTTGGCTCTCCTTGTGCAACGAACCTTGTCCTGACAACATCCAAAGGGTGACAAGAAAAAGTGGCTGCAATTCCAGCGCAGCCTCCATAAATGAAGTGCAAACCTAAAAGAAATGATGATTTTCGGGATAAAGAACTATATGTTGACAAGAAACAAATAAAGAACAATTTAGAACCTCTATAAAAACTAATGAAAAATTTACACTATCAAAAAATCCTAAGAACTTTTTAACATCGCCAGTTATCATTTTTGAAAAATAAATATTTTGTTTACATGGAAGTGTGTACTGGCTCCAAGATTAATGACATAATATATAAATTAGACGCATAGCGTGCAAAAACGTTTTCCTAAGCAGATTTTACCTTGTGACTGAAAAAAGCACTAAAGATCTTACTGGTTGTCACAGTATCCTGCTCTTTATTTCTGGCAGCTTGAAGTCTGAAATTTTTCAAACCTTCAAATGTAACGAACTGAAAAAGAAATTTAAACATAACGATGATGGATCAAATATAAAAATTGCAGCAAAAAGTCTCTATAATTAAGGTAAAAGGCAAACAAACATCCTTTCCAAAAATCTTACAAGGATTTCACCAGAACGACTAAGGTCCCTTTCTTTTGTACAGGTTGTACATCAGGAGGCCTTAATGAATCTCTCTTGAAAATACTGAATTCGCAACTACTAAAAACGGCTATAATTAAGCCGTTTTTAGTAGTTCACAGTTCTGAACTTATTAGCGTTTGCTAAATTCCGCACAAGTTTAAGCTTTGAAGCATAAGCCTTTTCAACTTGCATATGCCAAAAGCGTAAGCACGTACGTTTTCCGCATGTCCATGAGGAAAGCTTGAAACGATATGCCATCAGCTTTTTCGATTCAAAGTTTGCAGAAATGCTGTCGAGGAAGGTTCTTCTTGCCCTTCAACTTGTACGGAGAAAAAGAACAGGAACAACAAAACTCGCTAGTATATTAGGCCTATAAATACTTATCGAACTATTTGCGAGGATTATGCCGTGATTGTCACCGATTCGCGTTCGATGTCAATCATTTCCGTATACTTTTCTTTCACCTGTCCAAGAATGAGAAACCTGCCCCGATGTTCCCTAACCCTGGATTCCAGACCGACGTCCCCTTACCAAGAATTATACAGATGGGGGTATTTCTGTACCCCTTCACAAAGTTTTCCTTCAAACTCTTTTTCTCAATTTTAGCAAAAGCGAACAAATAATAAAAAAATTAAGTAAATGCTGAAAATAAAAAGCAAATTCAGCAACCTATGTTTTGAGTTGTCAAAAACGAAACAGTTAGCTTTTAGTTGACATCTACATACCAGTATACCTCCATATACAAGAGATAATGCTTGCGCAGGAACATGTCCTTTCCTATAGTACATAAAAAAGAGAAAATAGCCATAATAAAAAGTTCACAAGAAACTGAGTGCAATATAAGAAAATAAGGTTATTTCTCGAAGTTCAAAAATGGAAGTTCATAGATATTGTAGTATTCAGACTTTGCAAGCAAACAAACAAACATGCAAACAAGAAAGCAAACACAAAAGCAAGCATGCAAACATGAAAGCAAGCAAGCAAACACAATACCGAGCAAGCAGACATGAAAGCAACCCTGTAATATACTTGTTAACACAGGTTATGGTTGAGGCAACTCAAAGCTGATGTTGGATTGATAATCTAGAATGATTGTCCTGTGTACTCATTTACTCACCTGGAAAAGGTAGGCAGCTGAGTTGGTCGTAGGCTTGTAGAAAGCCCGATGGGACACAAATATCCCTTTGATATCTTTGATATGGGCCCTTTGATATCCAGACCTTGATTTGAACATTTTGGCCCATCATATACACTACTTAGACAATATTCAAATTTGCATAAGTTGAAGTCTTGGAGATTTGTTACAGATTTATGCCACTACTGTGTCATTAGTTTTGCTCTAGAAAAATCTCTATATGCTTCCATAAAACATCTAAGATTCCCCATAACACATTGGAAATCTATCTTTTATAACCTATCAAAATGCAACAAACTTGGCTTCTGTGATTAAAATTAGCCTATTATGGCTAGGTAGGGACCGGAAGGCTGTTTCAATACATACAAGTAATAATTAACATAAACCTTTTGGCATAAACATAAACTGATTAAAAAAATACACTTTAATACATTCCGGAAATTTAATACAAAATCTTATCAAATTACCATAAAGCAGTCAGGCCTTCTTCCTTTGCTATCAAGTATGTAGCTTGTGTTAGTCCAGTATACTTTGATGAAGTCAGTCTTACACCATTTATCTAAAAATATAAATGTTAGAGAGAATATGACATACTCTTTTTACTATAAGAAGATGATATATAAGCAGATGATTATGCCCTTTTCCGTCACAGCTTCTTTTTTGGCACACTAATTCTGACCATGTTAACACCTAGTTCCAAGCTGTATCAGGTCCACGCTACAGTTTCTGCTCCCTGATTTAGACAAACATTTATATATGCTTTAATACTGTCAGAAAATTCTATTTCTTCACAAATTTTGATAGTGTTCTATTGCATTATCTTGGCAGCAAAATGGCTTTTAAAAATTTTTTGGGCATGGAAATTGGTTGAAGCATTTCTGACAACATCAACAAACAGAAATATCATTGACATATGAATAACTGCAACCTTAGAACAGAACTCTCATACAACAGACATGAAAAAACTGATAATGTTCCACAAGCAATCACAGCATAAAGCATATTTAGATACCTTCTTTTTCTAAGAATCTGGAAAATCACAAAGACTGATGTGTTTAAATGTCTTTAAGATTAATTTAAACTGTTTTAAAGATTGGTAGAATTCTTTGGACACATACCTGTTTTTTGCGAATAGGCTCCGACTGCAACTGAAATCGAATCTTCAAAACATCTAGCGGTTGGGCAATTACTCTTGTTATAACACCAGAGAATGCACCACAGGCAGTATAATAGATGGGCTTTAGTGGACCATTGTCTAGTTCACCTTTACTCATAATACAGCAATGTCAAGTTGGTGAGACAATTTTACACGGATGATACTTCAGAGTATCTGCAAAATGCAACACAACAAATGTAAAATACATCAGAAGGAAGAAACACAGGATAGGCTGTCTGTCAGATTTTGTGAATCATGCAATGAGAAGTAATATTAAAATTAGACAGAAACAAAGCAACAGGATGACAAGAATCAAATGTAGTGAAATAGAACTTTAAGTTGACTCAAATTTAATAAATTTATGTTATTTTAAAATTATATTTCACTACATTGGATTCTTGTTGTTATGTCGCTTTGTTCCTGACTAATTTTCAAATGTAAAATAGCCAATATCAAAGCAATTATATCAGAATTTGAACATACTTGTTGACTCGTTATATGAAGCTGCAGTTACTAAAGTAAACCAGACCTACAAAAATTGGCATAGCCTAAAGCCATGACAGTGATGCACCAAACCCTGTGAAATTTGGCAAAAAATATTTTAAAAAAAAAATCTATTTGGGAATTAAAAACAGTTGCTTTAATGAGATGTTGAAAATTTTGCTATGCCACACCCTGATCTACCCTAGTTTTTATCCTGAAATCAGTTCATAACCTTCATATCCCTGTTTCTACAGGGGCATCACCAAAGGGGACATGAGGGTGCAGAACCCTCCCCAACATTTTGTTTATCAGCACATTAAGGACTTTTGCTGGGCAAAAGAAATAATTTTTGTACTCACTCTGTAACCTTTTTGCAACAATTGTAACATATTAACATTTCTGTGTAGCTGAACTTGCAAAGTATGGCACTAGAGCAAAGACTTTGAAAAAGAAGCATGTAAGAGCCATAAAAGTAGCATGTAAGAGTATTTATCTCTAGACCACACCTTTAAAGAGTGAGACACGCCCTTTTTGTCGGCAAAAAATCACCTCTGCACCCCTTCAAACAATTTTCTTGGCTTTGCCCCTGCGTTTCTAATTATCATTTTTTCACATCAGTAGGCCATGGCTAGTAACTTTTGAAATGGAAGAAAATGATCTCAGTTTGCTCTGTGTCCTTTGATTCAGTAAGCCAGACAACATTGCCTGGTACTGAGTAAGAACATTAGGAACCAGGGTCTGGATACAATAATGGGAGGAGGATACTCAAATTGAGATAGTATGGAAAAGAAAAGAAAAGAAGTATGCTTGAGTCTCAGAGAGTTTCCTTTCTACAATACCTCCCACGTGCATTGCCACTGACAGCCTTATTGCTGGCCTTATGTCAGCTTCTGGTCCTCATTCAGTCTAGATGTACTGGTGGGTGGTTATATCAGGCTCAAAGCCAGCACTAAAAAAGTGGGAGGGCAACAGGGGCAAGGCCAAAAAGTTTTCGGAGGGGTTCTGTATTGCTTTTTGCCAACAAAGGGCTTGTCTCACTTGTCTTGGGTGTGTTGATAAGACAAGAAATCTTATATGCAGCTTTTGCGTGTTTCTATTTTAATAGTCTGAATTCTAAAAATTTTAATTTGAAGCATTATTGAAGCCATTCTTTGAAAGTTGAACTGCTACAAGAATCTTAATATGTTATAACAGATACAAAAAGATTGTAAATATACTACAGGTTGAAAAAAAATTGTGTGCAAACAGACAAAGTATGGGAAAAAGCGCTGTCCTTTGGAAACGTCCCTGATAGGAATTGCTGAGTTAAGGTCAGCTTGTCAATTGAGCAAGGGGAGGAGCTCATTGCTTATTATTTGAGGGAGAGAACTTATGTAATAGTATTGAGTAACTTGAGTAACAGTAATGAAGAACCTTCAAAAATCTAATATCTTGCAATAGATACAGATTTTGATACAAATTTATCATATTGCACCAGATAAAGAATTTGTACAATTTAATGAATTATTTGTACAGTCTTTGTAATTTTCCTTCACTGGCAATTAGAAATGCAAACATAAATCTTGTCTGTCCAAAAATTAATAAATACAAAAATTAGCTGTAAAAGGGAACTGAGCCATAAAGACAGTTGCAACATAGCCTCGTCATATCTAAAAAGTCATCAAAATGCAGTGACATCAAAGATTGTCATTTGGAGTTTTGCAGCTTGACGTCTTTGTTAGGAGCATCTACCTTGCTCAATGCTGAATAACAGCATTCAACGAAGGCTGAAACATATCGGCAGTTGGATGGACAGGATTGTGTGGACAGGTGCACAGTGGATCATGGTTTTCACCATGAATGCACAGATACACTAACTTGTTGAGACCTCCATGCCCACCCTTGACTTTGTACCTGTCTGATATTGGGCAAAACAGGTCTACAGCCAACTGTTTGAGATATCAGTGGTTCACATTCTTTTACATGGTATAGAAACCTGTATATGGTTTATCACATATTCATATATTTGTGAAATTCAATCTTTAGTAACATAAACAGTTGTGGGATTTAATGACAATGACAAGTATGATAAGGGGGTTTGGCCCAGACCTTTTCACAGATAGCCAAAAAAATAAACTATCAGTTAGTGAACAATTTCAGTGGCTGCTGGCCCAGGGTGGTTGTGTTCAAGTATCAGTGCTTTACAAAACCAGCTCCAAAGCCGAATATTCAAGATTTTTTATTTAACAAGGACTAGGACTAGGACTGTCCATATCCTCAAGAAGTAACACAAAATAATCTGTCCATATCCTCAGACATTAACAACCAGGGGCGGATTCAGGGTGTCAAACAGGTCACACGGAAGACCGTAAGATTTTCAGAATTTAGTTTTAGTCTTCAGTCATTGAAATAAGGCAATCATGTTTACCACAATCTTCTATTTCCCTCCTTACAGATAATACATTTACCTCACTTTACACACAAAAAAAAGGACCCAAACCTTGGTTGATCTCGCAAACAATGCCAAAATTTAATTTAATATAGAAGAAATTCAAAAACCATCCTGGATCGTAAACAGTATGATTTTCAGGCATGTCACCCATGCCGCACAAATATGCAGGGCTCTTTGTTATGCAAATATTTTACCAAATCTCACCAATCAAAATTCAAGTTTTCACATATTTGGGCCGCACGAAAAGTCTGTAAACACTATGTTAGATTACTGTGCCGCACAACTGCTTGCAAGGAAAGAAAGTGGATGAGGTTGAAAGTTGCGAAGGAGAAGAATCCCAATTTTCATTATCCATACGGAAGAGGTGCACAGGAAGTGTACACTTCTGAATCTCAAGATATTTTGTCTCAACTGCGTGTTTGGATTTGCTGGAAAATTTGGAAAACCTTTTAAAAGGGAAAAATGTTTGACTGAACAATTTGAACGTTTCAGGGCCCCAGTCTTGTCGCCATCCTCAAAACTACTACAAGGCCTGCAAACCTCGTTGGTGAGGCAACTACCGCTTCTAAAGATAAGGGTGTCCATTTAGGCGTTCCATCAATCAGAGTGTATTAGTCTTGCTTAGCAGGACAAATCGCAGTTAGGTTAGAAAGTTAATGCTTACAAGACACGAAAATAATGTTCTAGACCAAAAATCAAGATGACTTTCTTGAAAAAAGGCGAAATTATTCCTTTTATTTATGTTGGTTACAATAATCAACCAGTCTGCAGAGTATGGCACTTTTCGACGAGATCTCCGGTGTGCACAAGCAAAAAGCCTGGTGTGACGGTGTGCACCACCAAAAATGTCTGGTGTGCTGGTGTGCACCGACTATTTTTCCCTGTTGTGGTTAAAATTTGTGAATTTGCATTTCACCGTAAAGATGCGTGTGAAGTATACTGTTGAAGATAGCGCAAGTTTTTATTTGTATATTTGTCAAGTAGGATTCATGATATCTCAAATTGTTCATACACAACTGTGCTTGTTTTTATCAGCTGACATTTTCTATGGGACCACACCAAGCCACACCCATCTTAGTTGCCACACCCAAAAATACGGGTGTGCAACAGGTTTTGCACAAAAATATCTCCGGTGTGCACATGCCATACTCTGCAGACTGGATAATCAACATTGTGAGCTTTAAGGTTTTTGCCTTTGGAATTAAACCTAGTTGCTCTGGTTCCGGGGGGGGGGAAGGGGAGGGGCTGGGCCCCTATCATGGCTCTGCCCTTGACCATGAGGGAGGCCCCCTAGACCGCTTGTTAGGTAGAGCTTATGTGCGACCGTCAACTTTTTTTCTGTATCCGCCCCTGTGAACAACAGCAATATCCGAGATAGATACTTTGCAGCTGGATGCTTCATCACAGTTGCAAATAGCGGATGGACACTTGAAAGAAGACAGGGACTTTATTTAGGCTGTGGAGCAATGATACGAATAAGAACAACTTACCACAGATTGCTAAAAGTCACCTCCAGCATCAATGATTTCCCTCCATTACACTTAGCCTCTTAATGGCAAAGAGGCTATGAAACTGGTCCATAGAAAAATTGACGTCGCACTATTTTACAACTTATAAATAGTAGTACTCTTGATTCAGTACTTTAAAAATAAAAATGATTAAAAAATTGGTTAAAAATTGTCTGCCATTAGGATAGACAAGGCATAAACCTATAAATCTAGGTATTAATGAACTGGAATACGACATAATTTAAAAACTCTTGTGGATACAGATATATTATTGCTTCCAATACTTTGCTTGTGTTGTAAGTTGATTTTATGGCCTTGGTTAACATGCAGAAAACACGGACCAAGCGCAGGAAACATTGTTGTGTGGCAGCTGTGCCCTGTTGTGTTTACTGGCTGAATCGCATATACACATAAAATAAGGGGACTCTGCGAATGTTTGAATAGTAACTCTATTGTGGATACGAATACAATGCAAAGTATAATTGACAAGATACAATGGAGGACATGTTTACAATGACTTCTACAATATACCAATTTATGATACAAGATAAAATTTCTTCAGTAAAATTCTGCAGCTTTTAAATAGGGAAGATTACATAGGGTATTTATTTACAAAAGCACCAAAGTCAAACTGACATCTCGTCACTAAATCTATCCCTTTCTTTATCTTTGTAATCTAAATTATTTTTTTTATTAGTGTGTTTAATATCATTTTTTGGGCGCTTGATCTTCTTCTTGAAAGTATTTTGGCTACTTTTGCTTTCTATGGAGTCATCATTCCTTTTAAAACTCTCTTTGACGTGTTTCAGTCTTTCAGTCTCAGAATCAATTTTGCTATATTGAGCCTGGGTGGTGTAGAGCAGCCTTAGTGCCTCTGCTGTGTCGTCAGCCTCAATCGTTTTTTGTTTAAGCTGGAATTAGAACAACCTTGTTGATAAACCCTCTCATTCAAAAGTCATCAATAAACATAAAATCAGAGGGTTAAGTTAAAGTGTTAAATTGAAGAAAATAGGGACAAAACCACCCTATAGCGCCAACAATTTCGTGCTTCGTCGCGACACATTCAATCTCGCAGGTGTGTGGGAAACGAAATGTTGGTCAAAGAAGGCCGTTGATACAACGCTTACTTCAACCCTATACCTACAATAAGATATGTGCAGCTACCTTTTAAGTGATGATGGCCTACAGGGGCATATGGCTAGATACATTCTATCAGCTTTTCAAAATGTTCCATTGCTTTACTATCTGTAAAAATACTATATGGCTACTTCTATGTAATTTTTTCATATCCCATTCTATTTCGCTTCTTGCAATGTCAACAGTTAGCTTACATGGATGATATTCATGTATCTTTGTGAATGAAATCTTTGGATTAGAATACAGCATGCACATTTTTCACGTCTTTGGCAAGAGAAACGTCAAATGACGTCAAAAACGTTATTTGTACTCATATCAAAATCAGATAAAGTAAAAGACATAAAATTCAGTTTGAAGCGTTTGCTAGTCCTTGCAAGAAAATACAGTAAACAGCAGATAACACGAACCTCGTAGGGGCCAATGAGACTGTTCAATATAGCAAATAGTCTCGTTATTGGGGATTTTACTATGAACATATAGGGCAAAGGGGAATTTATGTAAGTTTGACTTAGCGAACGTTCGAATTATCGAGGGTTTGAGTTATCAGGAGCTCACTGCATTATCAAAATGATACCACAGTTAAATAATTTCTTACCTTATCTTCAAGACCACTAGTGTAATCCCTTGTTTGACGTATTTCGTCTTCAAGATTCAAAATTCGATCGATTAGTTGGTCCTCCGTTTCACAGCTGACAAACCTTTGCTTAACTGTGCTGTTTCGGTGTTCTTTCTCGTTAAGCTGGTAAAATAAAATTTCGATAGACAACTGCATACAACTACAAGAGGTCTGATGTTGGATAGACTTCGTGTCGTCCTTTCAAGACATATTTCTGAAAAAGTCACAGGGTTTTTGTTAAGATATCGAGGCACCACCATAAGATTGTAAAGAGATAATTTATTCAATTTAAAAAATGTTGTGTAAATATTACAATTTAATTCGCCACAACTCAGAAAAATTATGTTAAAAGCGATGCAATGTTATTTTGAAAAGTTTTAAGAAATTTTTATGGCTACATATGGTTACACATTGATATAGATCTTTTTACAGCTTTTATTAATTTCTAATAAGCAAACATATTTTTAAAGAAGTCGATCATAAAACTCAATGAAATATGATTTGCTAGCATCAGGTAATAAAATTTAGGCTTTATCAAGAAAATTCTAGCTAACTGGCAGCACAGATTTTAGTGGAAATTTAGCCCTGGTTCAAAGATTATGCCCGCAAGGATGAAGAATTGTGAAGCCCTTGAAAGATGACAAGATCGCTTTATATGTCTCCCCTGAAAACTACCTATAACTGCGAGAGCAGAACATGAGGTCTGCTGTCTATATTATTCTATATTATCAGTCTATATAAGGCAATATAAAAGTACTTCAATGTTAATAACAAGAGTTTTTGGTCAAGTATTAGCTTATTTAGCGGTACATCGATGGAAGATACAATACCAATGTCGAAAGAAAAGAATGCGAAAGCCGAAGAAGGACTCGACGACCATTTGCAATAGTCTTAAAAGAAATGATTAATCAGAAAAACGAAAACCTTCTTGTTAAAAAGGATCAAGACACAACTCGACAACTTCATCAATTCTGCTCAATGACAACAATTTTATTCAAGAAAAGGTTTAATTAGGTTTTCCATAACGTACCGAATTGTTTTCTGGGAATTGTTCGTGCTCAGATCTTTGAAATAGACATTCCTGTTGTGTTTCAAACCCTTCCTTGAGATAATCCGTTGAATGTCCGGTTTCCCAATTTCTATGGTTTCTACCTAAGAACCTGGCTGAACCTTCCCTTGTTTGAAGCGCTCCAGATAATGGCAAAGGTTTAGAACTCGACGTATACTTGGGAGGTAAGTCTAAAATCATTCTTTCATTACTGCTATGCGTATGACATCTCCGCTCCCGATCACTGCAAGGTCGTCTATTTTCAAAGCCTGACGCTGTGTTCATATTATCCACCTTTAGCTCAAGGTCATATTCGCCCTCTAAGAATCCTTGCTCCCTAAATGTGCTACAATCCCTTTTTGATCTACTGGGCAATGTGTACTCTTTTTCTTCATCTGGATTACCAGTCCTTCTTGTCATTTCTACACCGTCTCGGGCATAGCCACTAGACCTCAAAGCTCCTTCGAAGTTCCTACCACTTGAAGAGTCAAGCGATCTTGATCTTTGTCTTGAAAACGCACCTTGGTAAATCGGCTTTGAAGATGCCCTGCCAATTCGATCAACTGCTAAATGTGGCTGCGAAGGAGCAATAGCAGGTGCAATTGGTTTGTTTTTGCTTGACGTTGCGTCGGCTTCATGGTTCATTGCATAATCGAAAATACGAACGCTAGACGATTGGCCGCTGGTGTTTTGGTCCCCAAGATCAAAGTCTCGTTTTTTTCCATGCCCACGGGGCGATGATTTGAAGCATTGTCTATTTCCATCCATTTCTAGGAACTGGACTTTCTTCTCAATACTGTTATCCATTCTTCCGTTCGTATTAAGGTTTTTGGCAGACACTGTGACTTCTAATTCGCTAATCTTTGATCGCAAAAACCTTATTTCTTTTTTCAAGCCCTCAGAAGCCTCTTCGTAATTTCGTTTTAGCATTTGTATTCTTTTCGCAAATTCTTTTGCAAACTGTTTTTGTATATCTTCTCTTTCCTTTCGAAGAACAATCACTTGCTTTTCTTCAAACTCGTTCAGCTTCTTTTGCAAATCAGAATTTTTCGCCTCCAGTTCCATGATTTTATCAATCCTTTCAGCATCATTATCAAGCTCCATTTCATTTTTGTTCTCTCTCATTCGTAATTCTTCACGTAAAACACAGCATTCGCTTTCTTTTCTTCGAATCTCCTCCGCATCTCGACGAAACCGTTCACTTAGAAGATTTCTCTCTTTGCGTTCTTTATCTAACATTTCTTTAAAGAAGCCGGACTCCTCATCGAATTTCTTAAGCTCTCTCCTCAACGCTTCACTTTCTTCATGAGACTGCTTGAGTTCCTCGCCTAGTAAAGACATCTTTCTTTCAAGATTCAACTTTTCTCGCTCCAGAATCTTACAGTTATCAAGAGCCTTATTTGCCTCTGTTTCCTTCAATGACATTCTATTTTTCATTGCCTTCTCAGTATTCCTGTGCTCTTCGAGTAACTTCTGTAACTCATCCTTCTCTCTTCTCAACAGATCAATCTCATGAGAAAAATCTTTAATTTCATTTCGTAGATAGCCTTTTGCTTCCTCATTGTCATTGATAACAACATGTTTTGAAGAAAGCTCTTCTTCAAGGCATTTAATGCTTTTCTCGTAGTTCCTCAAGGCTCTTTCCTTGCTCTGATTTTCGGCTTGGAGATCTTCAAGCTTGTTTCGCAAACTTTCGTTCTCTAGCACTGTTTTCTTTAACCTTATTTCATACTCCGAATTTAACCTACTTGAAAATTCATTCAAAATGCTCATTTTACTACAATTGTTATCGTCCAGTTCTTTGACTCTACCTGCAAGCTCGTCTTTGTGTCTTTCCAGTTTGTCAACTTGTGCACTCAGCCGTTCATTCTCTCTTCTCAGTTTTTCAAACTGAAACTCATATTCCTTGCTAACGCTTTCCCTCAGCTCCCTTTGAACCTTTTCTTCATAATCCTTAACGCTATCGAAAACCATTGAGACTTCTTTTTCTTTGCTTCGTAGCTCAGTTTTCAGCTCTGAAAAAATCTTTTCATAACGCTCGCGTTGCACATCCATTTCTTTAGCATATTTTTCCTCAAACTTTTCTCTTATTGCTATCTTCTCGTTAAAGGAACTCGTTTCTAGGTTCGCTTTCATTGTTTTGAACTTCGACTTCATCTCAAGCTCCTTAACATTGGACTCTTGCTCTTTGTTTTTCAACTCAGACTCAAGCCTTCTGTTTTCATGCTTCAAGTTAGTGATTGTTCTTCTTAAATCATCAACAGCCAAACGAAATTTGGATGATTCCTGCTGTAGTTTCGAGTTGTAATCAAACTCAAGCTTGTCCTTCAACAACCGTCTTTCATCTCGAAAACTCCTCTCTAGGGTATCTTTTTCCGTTTCATACTTGTCTTCAAGCCGCAGCCTTGACAAAAACTCCTCGGCACTGATGACATTGTTCTTATCCATTTTTATATAAATAGGCATCCCTTTATCTGTCATGTATATTCCGGAATCTTTCGGCCTAGAAGACTCACCTTGGTCATTACCAATTTTTCTTTCGAGTTCCGAAACGCGCTTCCTAAACTTGTCGATCAATTCATTTCTGTCCTTGATCAAACTATCAACTATTTCCTCCTTTTCCTTCTTATGCTCTTCCTTTAAAATATCTTTCTCAAGAATAAACCCGCGAATGATCTCTTCTGTATCGTCTCTCGTTTCCAGTCGACCACCCTTCAGCTCATAAGCATTAGGCCTCGTCTTTCCAAAATGACTGCTCTTTGCGGCCTCTTTTGGACTGCTGGCCATATTACGTCTCACTGTTTCTTCTGGGATAGATTCGACATCACTCGTAGTGTCGGAAAGAAACTCAGGGTCTCCACCCTCAAGCATTGCCATACTAATATGAGCAGCAATTCCACCAGCTTGAGCTCTTGGAGCGTCAGCCACGCTCTCTCTTCAATCAAGTTTTCCATTTACTTGTATTAATGGCGGGTGGCAGAATTCTGTTTGGCATATACGCGGGAAAGGACGGCGATGAAAATTGTCTTATGGTAGATTGTTTGTAATAGTTGCAAGTGAGCTGGAAATACCAAATTGCCTTAAAGAATAACCTGATTTTCACAATTCAATTACTATTTGACGCTAATTACGATTGCCAACAGAAATCCAAAACATAAAGTGTTAACATATTACTATGTGTCAATCCCTGTTCTTCTTCGGAAAATAGTTTGCGTTAAAATAACGAAAACAGATCCACAAACATTCAAAACAAAAACTTATGTCAGTTAAGGGTTATTGACTCATTAATGTCCTTGCATGGTTCAATTTAAAATTCTTTAAGAAGTCTGAAACTGCTCCATTTTTAATTGCTCAAATGAAGGCCTTTCAGCCATCACAACAGTGCAGGCGCAAGAAAAATCGGTATTTCAAACGCTCCGAAACCGCTTTCGTCATTGCAGAAAAAGTATAATCTCAGATTGCACAGCAACAAGTTCAACTAAAGAATATATACCATTTCTAGAAACAGGAAAATACCAATTTATGGATATACTCAGGACAGTTCGTGGTGGCAAAGACATTAACTACATAACAAAAATCGAAGAAAACAAATCATTTGATTGTTTTGCTTGATCCAAAACAGAAGACTTGATATACACAATAAAACCTATAATGTTTTCATCCATGCGGGTAGTTTGTACCCACCAAGCTGAAGCCACTGTTGAAGCTAAAAAGGCGGTGCTCAAAACAGCTTTCTTTCTGCAAAACACGCAAATAAGAATTCCTAATGAATAGCATAACCTTATGAGCAAGGACTATGCTTACTTTTATTTATGTTTTCGAAACAATTAAGAAGAATTCATGTGACTGGTATTTGCTGAGTACACCTTGCTTCTTACAATATTACATACATCATACATAATTTTATTTGATATGCAGGTTTTGCTAATTGGCAGCACTTTGGTCCAAGGTGCAAGGCAGCATGCCTCAAAATATTTTCAATTTCACAATAAGGTACCTAAAGAATACCCTTGCCACACAGAAAAACCTGAAAAAGTGGAACTTGAGCCAGACTTCAGACTGTTCCTTCTGTTTTCTGCCAGAAACCCTCCTTCACGTTGTTGCTGGCTGCAAAACATATCTTGAACAAGGCCGATACACCTGGCGTCATAACTCTATCTTAAATTTTCTAGCAACGTCTCTTAAAGCTGTTAATGAATCTACCATCTACGCTGATATCCTGGCTATCTTTCACCATCAATCATAACTGGAGAAAACCTTCGCCCAGATCTTCTCTTGAAGACTAACAACAATTACCTATACATCTTAGAGCTAACTGTTGGTTTTGAATCCAATCTTGACTCAAATGCAACAAGAAAACACAGCAAGTATGCTTCTCTCCTATATGATTTACAGCGGCAGTTCAAAGGTGTCTCTTTTGTGAATCTTTCTATGAGCTCTCTTGGCATCTTTGGCAATTCCTGCATCACCTTCTTCTTCAAAATGTGTGACTCTCTCTCCATCGATCAACAACAAAAACGGTATCTCATCTCTAAACTTTCCAACTTTGCCAACCATATACTACGTACTATATATTTTGTTGCAAAAATAAACCATGGACTAATCCAGAATTACATCCTTTTGAATTCTGGTTGTGTTACTTTTCTCAGTTTTCCCTTTGACCTTAGAATGGTTATAGTATTTTCTTGTAAAACCAGGCTAGCCAAGTGCAAATTACATTGTAATAGTGAGATTTGTAATTGTAGTTTAAATTGAATTGAAAATTTAATGTTTCCATTAATATTTTTAGAACGAATAAGTGATTGGTTTCAAATCTATTGTACTCGTTCTTGACTGAATTCGTTCAATTGAAATATATAACCATTATTTAATGAAAATTATTGCTTACCGGTCTGTCATAAAGTGTTCGATGTCGTAACAGAGCTGGATCCGCTATTTGGTGTATAGAACAGGTCCGGTTCTAAGTTGCTACTCCGAGGTTCACGGTTGATGCGATCATCGGGCAACCTGATGATTATATTGTTTTCCTAAAGTAGCCTGAATCATGACACAATTTTCAACTGAAATTGCATTAATAGAACTTGATGTCTCCCAAGAAGCCGATTAAACTACCCCACCATCCAACTCCCTCCTCTGCAGCTCAAATTGAGACACTTTCCCAGGTGATGAAAACATTTAACTCAGGACACAACACCAAATGACCGGGGTCAAGTTTTTCTTTTTTAATAAGTTTCCCTATTGATCAGCTTCTCATTTGACCATGACATGTGAAAGGAATAACATAATGATACAACTTGTCGTTGAAAGCGTAAATGCATGCGTAATGTGGTATTATCATCAATGCACAATTCTTACACAAATATACTCATATAAAACAAATACTGTGTCCATACATTTAGGAAATGGAGCAAGCATTCTCTGGGCGAAATGATACAGATTTTTCAAGCAGTTTGTTTACGATCGCACGTGCGTAATAAGCCATTGTTCCGGAATTTTCTGCCTGTCCCAAGTTATAGAATGCTGATTCACTCTGGAAAAAAATTTGTTTCTGTAAATGAATGGCCTTTAATTGCTCGTACATATTTTAATAGTTCGTACATATTTTACAGTCCCACAGTCACCATCAGGCCAGCCGAGAGGTTTCGAAGGCATTGGGGCAAAAGGGAAAGAAGAGGTCCCCTGGGAGCGGACCGAGCAATTTTTTTTGCGACAACGCACTTTAGCTTAGCTTAAAATGCATTTCAGAATATTTTTGCAGTCATTTCTTAGTTTAAAACATTTCTTCGCAATCGTTTAAAACGTTTTACTTTTTAGTTATACTTTTGCTACCTTAAACTGGAACTCATTACTTTATGAGGCCCCTAGCCCTTGAGGTGCTGGAGCAATTTGATACCTACCTTGCCCCTCTCTCGGCATCCCTGAATTCACCATATGCCACTGTTTACCTTTTCAGCTCAAAGAATACTGTCACAAAGTAAAACTGCTCTATAAAATAAAAAATTACCGCATAAAATAGCCGATATAGGGCACAAGAAGGATTATAATTAACACTTACTGCTTCCTCTGAGGTTGGGTCATTCTTGAAAAGTCTGACTGCTTCACTGTGGATCTAAAAGACAGGATGATGCTGTAATTTCAGTTTCATTCAGCTATGGTGGTTATTCATTCTGATTGATTATTTGTGCATTAAACCAACGATGCATGAATGTCATAAGAAATTCTGAGAAAAATGGGGGGGGGGGGGAGGCAGACTGCCTTCAAGCTACGAAGTCAGCTTCAGATCACCCTGTGATGTTAGTTTCAGTTTCAGACAAAGAATCAAAGTGTTGATAGCGCAAAACCATTAATTGATAACATGAATAAATTATTATTCAAAAATTGTTTGCCTTGTTTGAAAATGACTTTTGTAAGACACAAATAAATTTCTGGAATAATAGAATAATTAGAGATGCAAGTCTGAAACACGATTAAGGTAAATAAAAATGAGCCATTCGACTTTAAAATGGTAAACAGAGATGCAAAACTAGTTATTAGTCAGTGAAATCGCTGACTGATGTTGACAACATACAAACGACCGATTTGTTATAGACCTGTTATACACGGTTTATTTGCTGTTAAAAAATATGCCTATTTCTGAATGTCAAGAATGAACCACATGATATTTTATAAACAAAATTAGCCAACTTGCGCATGTCATGAACTGATCACATGATATTCTAGATAAAAAATGGGCTAACTTGTGCATGTCGTCAACTGATCACATGATATTCTAGATGAAAAATGAGCTAACTTGTGCATGTCATGAACTGTTCACATGATATTCTAGATACAAAATGAGCCAACTTGCGCATGTCATGAACTGATCACATGATATTCTAGATAAAAAATGAGCTAACTTGTGCATGTCATGAACTGTTCACATGATATTCTAGATACAAAATGAGCCAACTTGCGCATGTCATGAACTGTTCACATCATATTCTAGATACAAAAATGAGCTAACTTGTGCATGTCATGAACTGTTCACATGATATTCTAGATACAAAATGAGCCAACTTGCGCATGTCATGAACTGATCACATGATATTCTAGATACAAAATGAGCAAACTTGCGCATGTCATGAACTGATCACATGATATTCTAGA